CGCCAGAAGTTGGAGCGCGCGGCGAGGTAGATCACCGCGTCAGCCTCCCCGCCCTGGCTCGAGTCAATGGTGGAAATGGTGAGTCTGCCGTTGGCGAGGTACTCCTCCGCAACCTGACGTAGCCCTGGAAAGCGTAGGTCAATTCCATTGAAAGGGGAACTCCATTGCTCGGAAACGCTTTCGCGCCCCGGATAGAGGTACAATCGTTTGCTCTGATCGTCTCACCTTTGCCAACCCCTTTCGCCCTGGACTTGGACTGCACCAAGGCGCCGCTGATGCTGCGACCTGGCTGTGGCCAGCCGTTCTCGAGCACCGCACACTGCAATTGATCGCCAACCACCGCGAAGACTGTGGCCCCATTCTCCATGGCCGGCCGTAGCGCACGCACGATGTCCACTGTCTGCGCAGCCTCTGGGAGATTAGCGAACCCTGCATGGGGGTTGGACAAGACCTCGACCGATGGGGTTGTCGACTAGGAGGAACCGATGCCTCTCCTCCTGGGGCTGCGCAGGGGGCTGCAGGCCCCTCAGAAGGTCCTCCAGGTCCTGCGGGGTGGTCTTGGTAGCCTTGGCCAGCTTGTTGAGCCGGGCGCTGTCCCGGGGCAGAACCTGCTGCCATGGTAACCCCATCACCAGCGGCCTTGTCTGAGGGGGTCGGCGAGGCCAGTCTTGATCGCCTTGTTGTCGAGGACCGCGTTGAGCCAGGACAAAAGTAGGGGGCGCATGCGGTAGCAGAGGGTCAGTTGCACCACCGCAGTGGTGTCCTCCCCCAGCGCGTTGTGCAGTCGGTCGAAGATCGAGAGACGCAGCCCGCGGTCGGCCGCCTTTCTGGAGAGGACGGTCGGGGGGGGTTGCTCTGGATCGCCGATTAGCAATAGGTGCCCGCCAGAGCGCATGACGCTCACTAGGGGCATTGCGGCCGTCAGCTCGCGCGCCCGTCCTGCCTCGTCGATTATGAGCAGGGCGACGGGGGAACGAGCTTGAGGGATTCGGCCGCTTCGTGTGTCGCAATGATCATCTTGGCATCCCTCAACAACTGCGCTCGGAGGGTGGTGAGTTCCTTGGGAAGACCACTCAGGTGGGGGTGGCGGTTGTGCGTTCTGTAGAAGTGTCCCTCGGGTGTGAGGTGGGAGAGCTTGGGTGCCACCAGTGCGCCCTTGGCCAACCTGGCGCACGCGTTGGGGAAACAGGTGTCGGGCGCCAACCTGCCACCTTCGCACGCCTCCCCCAGGCCGATAGCGGGCTGGTCGGCGGCTGTGTTTGAAACAGCCGAGAGGGCCACTGCCTGGCCCTTGGGGAGCGAGTTTGCTCAGGCGTCCATTGTGGCCACTGAGAACAGTGTTTTGCCAGTCCCTGGGGTCCCGTGAACCACTGTGACGTGGTGACGTGTGGTGGCGACCAGGGCTTTCCTAGCGTCCGCGTTGAGCCGATGTCGAAGAGCGGCGTCGCCCAGGTCGGAAACGGGGGGAAGGTCCCTGACCCTTCAGAGCACCTGTCCCGCAGCGCTCTCAACCCTGTCGTCAGGGAAGGGGGAGTCGGGAGACCCCTCACACTGCTGTGTCCAGTGTGTTGCGTCGTCCGCCCCGGTTGCGGGGGGGATACGAACCTTGGCCTCGATGGTGGCTCTTGCCCTGGAAAGAAGGGAGCTGGTGCCCTTCCTGGCATTCTCCACTTCATTCGCACGCGTCCTGTCCTTCTTGTCGATGGCGCGGTGGTTGAGTAGGAAGGTGAGGACGTCGCGCGGTGCGCCCACCAGGACGTCTGGATCCTGCTGCAGCTTGTAAATATTACTGACGGCGTCGTATATTCGCCAGTACTGCAACTTAAATGGAGCCTTGTCCAAACGATGCACAACGTCGCCCTCCTTGCCAGCCTTCTCGTTCACACCGTCTCAGAGTAGCTCCTCGGCCTGGCTGGAGTCGCACCATGCCAGGGCTTGGCGGGGGGGGGTACTTGGACCCAGCCCTGAGTTTGAGGACGTCGCACTCGTTGCGGGGGATGGTGCCCCCGAGGTCCGGTGGCCACGCGAGCTTGAGGGTGGCGATCTGGTCCTCCGTCGGGCCGGTGAGACTGAGCAGCAATGTGCGTGACTGAGCGTCCATCCCGCCTTCCACTCCTCGTAGCATCAGCTTGAACTCGACTGGCCAATGTAGGTGCAACAGCAGTTTCACTTCGTGCGGGGGGAAGGCGTTGCGTAGGTTGTGCTTGTCCAGGATGAGGCAGGAGGACCGCTCGCTGATGGGGGTGACAGCCACCTCCAGGGCACAGCTCTTTTTGCGCGCCAACTCTGTCCTGGTCTTTGCGGAGCCGTCCCACACTGTCTCAGCGGCTGCCATGTGCCCGGTCCAGGCTAGCCTGCAGAAAGTGTTGCCCCTTTGTCGTAGATCTTGCTCCCAGTGTTTTGGCAGGTTGACTTCATCGGGAACCGCGCCAAGGGCGGTGTGGAGGCAGAATTGCGCGCCTGGGCTGTCCTCGGGTATGTTAAACAGCCGTATGACGGCCTTGGCCGCCTTGTCTGCAGGGGAATCAGGTGTTAGGTTGGTCTGGAGTGGAGCGTCGCCTGCCCAGCTGTTCTCATCCGCCAGAGGCTGTCCTGCGCGGTCCACTGGTTCCAACGACGAAGCCCTACTGGAACCCGCGAGTCTCTCCCTCTGCGTCAGTGCTGCGTACAGCCTGCCTGCTGCGGCTGGGCTAGGGGAAGCAGGTCGGTGCTCCCCCACGCCCCTGAAGTGCGTCCCGCGCTGGCTCCCCAAGCGTATCGGTATAGGCTGGAGGGGCGGAGGTCTGCTGAGTGCACAGTGTCGGTGGAAATGGTGAAGTCGAACGCGTCGTCGCGGTAAGGGAAGTTGACTGGTACGTAGTCCCAGTCCTCTGGAAAGGACCACCCTGGAATATGCGCACAGCTGCCGTCCTTGGCTGTGCCGGGGAGTTCCCAGCCAGGCCACTTTGGTCTGTCAATATGCTGCCCTGTCACGCAGTCCATGGTCGATCCCAGGGTCCTGGCCCAGAGGTTGCCCTGCCCAGTGTACGATCTGGGGTCCGGCCAACCTGTGCCCCTCTGCTTCACGGCCTCGTCGTAGTGGTCTTTGCCGGCGCAGAGCTTCTGGCAGATCTCGCACCACCAGCACCACTCGTGGTTGAAGTACGCCCACCTGAGCCATGGGCATTCTTTGGCGCGGAAGGGTAGGAGGGAACCTTCTGCGGTTGGGCCGTCCCGGCAGTGCTGGAGGGGGGAAGGCCATCTGTTCGTGGGCCCGTTGTTGCACTTCGATTCTGGATACGCAGAACGTCAAGAAATTGCCAGATCACGGTCAATGAGCGATCAGACTGAGAAAGTATGTCTTCCAATGACCCTTCAAGGAAATAGGCCTGTGTATGCTTCGCCGCGTCTGTCGTCAAATATCGACAGGACTGGACATGAGAGTCAAAGCGAGAAGGCCCAGGCTACGGGGGCACTCGGCGAGTCCATACCGAAAGCACTGCACTATATTGTACTACCTCCCAAGACTGCGAATCGGACTCTCAACTTGAAATTCGCCAGCCCAACGGGCTGGGCAATCCCGGGCGGTCGGTGTCACAGCTGTCGGAATTTCTGGGGGCGGTCATCAGGGCCCCCAAGAGCGCCCCAGGAACGCCCCGAGGTACCCCAAAGAGCTCCAAGAGGTCTTTCGAGCCGGGATCCATGGGTGGCAGGATCCACGATTGCCCCAATATCCTCCCAGAAGGCTTCAAGATAGCTTCCAACTTGCCCAGTACAGCGCCAGGAGGCTCCCAAGAACCAGATGGCATGGATTCGGCTTGGGGTTTTACATGCTTTCGGCGTTACCGCCTCTTCAGTGTTCCGACCGCCCAAGACGGCCCATTCTTACCAGCCTCGAACGTATCCCTATCCCTAAGATTGGCACCCCAAAAGGCGATGACAATCTTGGGGATTCGCCCTCAAAAAATAAAGGAATCCCTAAGATTGGCATCGTGATGAGGAGGTGCCCAGCATAGGGATAGGTATATGTTCCAGGCTGGTAACATTCGGCCCCCCCAGTATTGCCACAGCTCAGGCCAGGGAGCCCCCAGGGCGGCCACGAGATGGCCCAAGAGGGCCCCAAGACGGCCGCAGAGGCCTCCCAGGAAGCCTCCGAGCCCCTAAGAGGGTCCGAAGAAGGGAACCCCAAACTGAAAGGACGAACCCTTTTCCGTTTCCCGAGAGATGGCCCCCCCAGACCGCGAGAAGGCCCCCAAGAGGGCCCCACGAGACCTCCAAGAGGCCCCCAAAGGCCCCCCCAGACACCCCCAGGAGACCCCAGGAGACTCTCGAGAGGCCCCAGGAAGCCTCAACAGTGACCCCGCGAACGCAGGCAAGTGCCAGCGAAGCTACAAAACAGTCCTCCCACACGGCCTCCAAGACGCCCTCGAGAGAATCGCCCCCCCAGAAGCCCCAGATACCACTAAAGATGCGTCCCCAAAGCCTCTGACCCAGACGCCCCGCTTTCCTCCTCGTCCTGCTGCTCCTCCCTCTCCTCACCTTCTCCCTCTCCCTCCCGCGAGTGTCCCGCGAAAAGTTGACCCGTCTGCCGAGAGAACAGGTCCTCTTTCCCAGAGCGAGCCTCGCGCAACAGCCCAGGCTGAAATATCACCGCCCGACGATCTTCGAATCGCCACGGCCACGAAAAACATATGGCAACGATGGCACTGTACGGGCCGGCAGAAGGAACGAATCGGTTAATACAGTGGAGGCCAGTCCACAAGAAACCTTTCACAAGAAACCCAACCCTGAGACCCCAGGGCGTCCATTGATTTTCGGTGTGGGAACGACACGCGCTCCACAGCAAAACCATCGCAACCCAAGAAACCCAGGGCGCCCTGGGGCGAGCAGGGTGCTTCTTGGCATCAGGCCTCCACTGCAGGGCGGATCGCCCGGCCCTCCGAAAGCAGATTCGGAGCAGGCGGCGGGCGGCCGATCCGGACTTTCTCTCCTCCACGATCGCGCGCGGCTGACGCGGGCACCGGGTGGTGCAGGTGCAGGCGGCATGGCCGCCGCAGCGGCGTAGGAGATGCCAAAAGCAGCCGTCTCCTGGCAGGCCCGCAGGTCCGACCATGCGGATGCAGAGTAGGGAGAGGGAGCGGAGAAGGAAGGAGAGAAGAAGGAACCCAGAGGGTTCGCCGGTGGACGAACCTCCCTTTAGTAGACCACCCTGTAGTGAGAACGGCCCAGGACCGAGATCGACGGACCTGGACCAGCAAAAATGACGGCCGCGACGCCCTCTCGCGAGCCGAAAACGGCCAATTCACTAATCGACGTGTCAGGGTAGGAGGCCTGTCCACCCTCGAAGGGTATACAGAGAGGACACAGAATGGAACCAGCCGGCGCTGTGTTGACAAGACATTATGGCCGGATCTGGTCATAGAGACAAGACAACTCCCTGGTGGCACACGTTGCATCGAAGCGATTCCGCACCGTGTGGGAGCCTCCATCTCCCTAAGCCTACTTCAGCCTGACCTGCAGCGCCCTGGTGCAGCGCAGGGTGACACAATGATCCTCGAAGCTGCGCACCCTTGCCTCTTTTGTCACTCTGGATGGGACAATAATCACACTCCCCTTGGATCCGCTAGGGGGGTTGGGGAACGGCTGGAGGGGGGTTGCAGGAGGAGTATGAGGAGGAGGAGGAGGAGGAGGAGGAGGAGGTGGAGGTGGAGGTGGAAGATGAGGTGGAGGAGAATGGGGATGGGCAAGCTCCGTCGGAAGGCTAGTCGCCCACCCCTCGAGTAACATCCCACCAAGAATACTGAAATAGCCGAGCCGCGCTCCCGTCACATCTGCACTGCGTAGCAGAAGGCTCGGTGGGCCCTCAATGGGCAAGCTCGTCGCACTGCGCCTGAGGGACGGCTGGCCCGTGCAGCTCCTCAGGCCACACCGTCTTTCCGTGCGATGCCAGAGCATAGGGCCCAGCGACGGGGCCACGCCACCCCGTAGTGAATCTTATGGAAAAAAATCCAAGGAGGCCTCGCGCGGCAACTTGAGATCCGATGTACGTCGGAACCACGTCGGATGTACGTCAAATTCGCGTCGGACTACGTCGGAGTAGCGTCGGATTTACGTCGGACTGACGCCGGAGCATCGTCGCGCAAGCGTCGACCCATAGTTTACGGAGCTGACGTGTGGACTAGACAATACAACTATTACGCGCCGCGCGAGGCCTCCAGGATTTTTCAAATCCGCCGACCCCTTGTGGGTCTCTAGGCGTGTGAGATAGTTCCCCCCCATAACGCCCCCCAAGGGACCCCAAACCGGAGATTTGACCCCCCCCCCTCGCCCCGGACGAGCGCACCACGAAGCTTTTCTGGGCCCAAGAGGGCCTCAAGACGGGCCTAGAAAGCCCCAAGAGGCCTCCAAAACGGCCCACGAGGGCCCCGAGACGCAAAACGAGCGTTCCAAGACGCCCTAGCTGGCCCAAAAAAGGGCTCAGAGGCTTCCAAGACGGCCCAAGAGGTCCCCAAGAGGTCCCCAAGAGGCCCCAAGAGGCCTCCAAGATGCGTCCCCAGAGGGTCCCTAGACGCAACAATTGGCCCATTCCCGTCGTAAAACACAAAATTTCCATAGATTCGCCTTCTGGGCTTTCCGATGCTCTCAGACGGCCCAAGAGGACCCCAATACCGCCCCAAGACGGCCCAAGAAGCCTCCAAGAGGGTCCCAAGATAGCCCAAGCGGGCCCCAAGACAGCCCAAGAGGCGTCCAAGACGGCCCAAAAGGGCCCCGAAGACGGCCCCAAGAGCGCTCCAGGAGCGCTCCAAGTCGCCTCCCAGAGAGATCAATATGGTCCCAGACGGTCCAAGAGCGATCAAAGACAACGAAGATGGCCTCCAGCGGTCCAAGATGCCCCCAAGAGGCCCCAAGAGGCATCGAAAATACATCCCAAGAGAGCCTCTAACCGCAAAAATTCGCCCGTTTCCTTTGTGAAACGTAGATTTTTCAAAAATTCGCCTTTCGGGCTTTCCGACGCTCCCAGACGGCCCCAGAGGCCTCCAAGACCGCCCCAAGACGATCCAAGAAGCCTCCAAGAGGGCCCCAAGACAGCCCAAGAGGGGCCCAAGACGGCTCCAGAGGCGCCGAAGACGGCCCAAGAGAGCCCTGAAGACGGCCCCAAAAGTGCTCCAAGAGCGCTCCAACTGGCTCCCAAGAGAGTTCCACATGGTCCCAGACGGTCCAAGAGCGATCAAAGACACCTGAGATGGCCTCCAGATGGCCCAAGACGCCCCCAAGAGGCCTCCAAGGTGCGTCCCAAGAGGGTCCCTAGACGCAAAAAAATGACTCATCGCCTTCGTAAAACGTATTTTTGTTACACATTCGCCGTGTGGGCTTTCCGGCGCTCCAAGACGGCCCAAGAGGCCCCGAAGACCGCCCCAAGACACCCCCAAAAGAAAACCCAAGACGGGCCCACGACGGCCTGGTATGGCCCCAAGACGACTCAAAAGGGCCCCAAGACGGCCCAAGAAGGCTCCCAGACGGCACCAAGAGGAGCCGAAGAGGGCGACCAAAAATTCAAAATTCTACTTGTCCGCCCCCGGGAGCCCCAGGGAGCCCGAAGAGTGCCCCAAGAGGCCGCCAGAGGCCCCCAAAAGGCGGCCAAGACGCCCCAAGGAGCTCCCAAAAGGCCCCCAGGAGGCCCCCCAAAGACTCCCAGAACCTCCGAAACGGCTCCAAAGTGGGGCCAAAACTGCCTTCCAGAGGCTCCCGTGAGGCGCGCCGCGAGAACCCGATACACATACAAGCAGCCTCCAACCCATAACCCATAACCCAAAAAATCCTCTCTGTGTCCCCCTCAGGCCCCGAAGAGCCCCCAAGAAACCCGACAAAAAACCCAAAACGACCGCCAAACGGCTTCGAACCATCTGATCATTGACTTCGATTAAAGGGTCGGCGGATGTGGCGCAAGCCTGAAGAATCCACGTCCGGAACCCAGATCATACGCGCCCGAAAAATTCTGGTAACGGAAATCAATTTCGGGCGCGACCAAAATCTCAATCAACGTTCGATTTTTGGGTAACGCATGTTGGTTGTGTTACCGATGCGATTGGTCAAAAATTTCGGTAACCGTTACCGGAAATCGATGGCGACCGTTACCGAAATCACGCATTCGGTTACCGATTTGTTTTCCTGGCGTTTGTTACGCAGCGGGGGGTCGGCGACAAACGTTTGTCAAACGTTTGTCTGCGGCCGACCCCCCCGCGACAAACGTTTGCTAACGCTTGTCGATGGGATCATAATCATCATCAGCAACATCATCGTCATCATCAGCATTATCATTATCATCACCATCACCATCATCATCATTTTCATCATCATCCCACGCATCATCATGATCATCACCATCATGATCACCAGCCATGACCAACATCATCTTGAACAGCACCATCACCATCATGATCATTGAAACCATAATGATCACCATGCTCATGATCGTCATAACGATCATGGCCATCTTGGACCGTCTACTGGCCTTCGGCACATGCTGCCACCGTGCTTGGGTTGTGGGTTAAAGCCTCGTGGAAGTCCGTTTAGATATAGTGGGAGGCTTTCGGGTGCCTCTTGGAGGCAGTGTTGGAGGCCTCTCGAGGGCCTTTGAGGAGCCTCTCGGGGCCTTTTGTTTGGGTCTCTTGGGGGCCTCGTGGAGCCTCCATGGGGGTTTCTTAAGCTTTCGTGGGTGCCTCTTGGGGCATCCAGGAGGCCTCTTGGGGAAGAGGACTCGAATTGTCGGCCCCAAGACAGGCAAGTGCGACTTGTTCTTTTCCACTGCCAGCGTACGATATCTCGCAAGCTATTCGGCCAACGTTCGAGAGCGCTGCCGCCGCTTGAAAGAAGCGGAAGGAACAGGGCCATGAACGAGAAACGGGTGGACGCGGGCGGAACGAGGAGCAGACGAGGGAGGAAGATGGAGAGGAATAAGGGTGGGGGCTTTTTTTTGGGCTGTACTAAGCTCGTTGCAAGTAGCTTGAGCGCAGCGGCCAACAGGACTGGCACAGGCTGCACGCGAGAAGCCCGAGAACATGGACGCTGAGCTGCTTCCGCTCTCGCCCCGAAAACTGTCGGGAGAGAGGCATTGGCGCTGCGGGAGAGAAGAGAGGAATCATATACAAAAAAGGAGGAGTTTGCAGCGCCGTGCGAAGAGAGACATCAGCGGGGCCCTGCTTCGTTGCCCATAGCAGGGCAGCCCATCGAGGCAGAGAGCAGTGCAAGGCTGGAAAAGGAGAGACCTGCCTAGGTGTGCCGTCCAAGTTTCGGTCGGCTGAAGGAGAGGGAAGAGCTGGACGGAGGGCCAAATTGGCCAGGCCGCCGCGCGGCTGTCCAAACCTCCAGGGGAGGAGAGCTGGACTGGAGGAAGAGCGGGGGAATCCACAAGAGGCGGGGGGAGGAAGGAGGGCCAGAATGGCATTGCCGTGCTGCAGGGCGGCCGCTGCAGCTGAAAGGCCTGCGCGGGCCGTCCGCGACGGGGAGGTGGGTGTGCCTGGGCGCTAGCCGAGACCAGACAACAGAGACCCACCTCCGTGTGGCCCCTCACAGGCACACAGGGACCAAGGGGACCCTGCTACACCTGGACGAGGGCCAAAGAGACAAGCCGAGGCACAGTGCCGCGGTCCTCCCACGAGGCACTCGTGCTTGCCGCGGCCTTGACTCAGCCGCACAGCCAAGACGCACTAGGGCATGGTGCCTGTATGCATATATGGCACCTTCGCTGGCCGCCTTGGCCGAGAGTTACTCGGCAGGGATGTGCTGTAGCATCGTCCTTGCTTGCCACAGCTTAGGCTTGGCCGTGGCAGTCTGGCTAGGACTGTCTAGGTAGTGAGCTGCCAAGGTGAACCAAGAGTATTAGGCCAGCTCACCACCTAGGAGACTCAGCCGTGGCGAGTCTGCGAATTGCTGTGTGAGCTTAGCCGATCGCTGTTTAGCGAGGCTGCTAAAATGTGCCGCGTTGGCCGCACTCGTGCGGCAAAGTGAGAAGTCGCGCCCATGACTGGCAACTACTCTTGCACAGGCCCTCCAAGGGGGGGCCGGTAGAAAAAAGAGTGACTAGGTGG